TTCGAATTATTATTAAGGCTATATAGCCCGTAAAACATCTAGCTAGTAATTATAGCTATAAGTTTGCCTATAGAATTCTATAATAAGTCTAAAAGCTTAATATAAATAACCTTATTAATTAAATCAGGAATTAAGAAAATAGTATTTCTTCTAAGAAATAAAAATAAATATATATATAAAAAGCCATACTTCTAGTATTTAATTATATAAATATAGCCTATATATTATTCAAAAAAGTAATTCTTAAGGTTTATAAAAAGCTCTTTTATTTTTAGAATAAAGATTTAATAAAAAAGATCCGGATAATTAATTACTTATTACTTATTTAAAAAGTAATCTATAATTTCAGACTAGTATAAGTTAGCTATAAAAGTAATAAAGAAGCTTGGCTTATTAAAATATTATATAATAGCTATTATATAAAGTAATTATTACCTATATAACTTAATAAGAAAATAAAGTAATAACTAATATTATTTATATAAATATTCTTATAAATTAGAATATCTATAAATCCCGTATAAATATTTATATAAATATTTTACTAATATAAATAGAGCTAATTAAGTAAGGTAGTTTTATAGATAATATATATATTAATAATATATTATTAGAAAAAATAGCTAGTATAAAAGAATAAAGAGAAGGCTAGACGAATATAGAAGTAATATTAGTAAAAGACCTGCTATTTAAGCCGTATTTACTAGTAGATCCCGATATAATCCTATAATTATAACTTATAATACTAGCCCGAATTATTATATAAAAAGAATAAGATATAATAAAGTAATATATATACTATATATATAATATTAATTATATATATTTATAAATACTTATAGCCTGCCTTATAAACTATTAGTATTAGATTATAATAGCTTATATTTATATACTTATCCGGAATTAGAATAATAATCTTATTATTTATAAAAAGGTTCTTATAATAATAATCTATATTTAATTTAAGAATTAAATATATTTATAAGTTAAATAAGACCCGGAAATCGGTTTACTAGCTTATAAAATACTTATAGGCCATTTTATAGACTATAATAAACGGATTATAGTTTGTAAATATATCTATAAGCTATAAAAGAACTATATAATCTAAATAAGGAAAGTTAGTAACTCGGATATTAATTATAAAAAGCGGGTTATAAAAGAAAAACTATATAAAAAAGAGTTTAATATATAAAGCAGGCTATAATAGGTATTAGAAATAAAAGAGCTTGCTATAGATCTAAAAGTACTAGATTCTATAAGAGAAATTAATCCGGATATTCTTTTTATAACTAATTAATATAAAAGTAAAAGTATAATTATATATTTAAATATTTATTTAAAAGGCTTAGTAAAGCGGGTTATTACCTATAAAGAAATAAGAGAAATATAGAGAAAGCTTATAGATTAAAAGAAGTATTATATTACTTTTCTCATAATAGGCCTTAAAATAATTATCTATATAGCTAAAATAGAGGATTTCGTAAACTATATAATAATCTATAAATAGACCAGTTATATATATAGGAGCTAGCCAGAAATAGGAAAGGAAAGCAAGAGGCCATATAATAAATAGATTAGTAGAAGGGTTTTTTATAATATAAACTAGGGCTATAATAAATAATTAATAAATCCGTTACTAGTATTATAGGGCTAGCTTATTTATAGAAATATCTATAATTAACTATTATTATTACTAGAAGAAAGAAAGAATATTTGAATTAAGTTCTTATAAAGCAGGGTATTACTAAATATAATTAATAGTATTTTGGCCCTATTAACTAGTTAATTAAGCTAGAAAAGAAAAAGAATATAAATTTAATAGTAATAATAAGTCTTATATAGCTTAATTCGTTTTATAATAAAATTAGAAGCGGGCCGGTTTTATTTATAGGAAATATAAAAGCAGAAAGAATCTATAATAATAAAGAGGAAAAAGAGAGGAAAGTAATATAAAGCTAGGTTTTTTTTTTAGTATATTCTATAAGATCTCTAGCTTAAGATTTTCTTTTAAATATTAAAAAATTATAATAAAAGGCCCTTATATTCCAGAACTACTAAAATATAAAAAAAGATATTTGAGATTTTCCTTTCTTATTCTAAGCTAAGCTCTAAGAATTTGAATATAATTATATTCTAATATATAATTTCCCAGAAAAGAGAAATTCTAGTATTTCTTATATAACTAGTTTTTTTTCTAGATATTCCGAGAACTAACTATTTAAAATAGCCTAAATATAAGATAATATAAAAAAGATATTTCTATTTCTAAAAACAATTTCCTCGAAATAAGCCTATTTCTAGTAAGAAAAACCCGGATTAGTATAGTTAATCTTAATATAATTAGCCTATTTATAATTAATATAGAGCTTAAAGCTATTATTAAACTATTTCATATTATTAGTAAATAAATTCTTAGAATTAGTTTACGAAAATAGTAATATATAGGGCTATTTATTTCTATAATTATTATAGCTACTATAGTTTAGGGATTCTAATTTATTACTTCTATTTACTAAAAGAAATTAGTTTTTATATTATTTATTTATATTATTTAAAGCAAATTTTCTTTAATTTTATTAATTAGATTATCTAATTAAGGCAGATCTTTATTAAAACAAATTAGATTAGTAGTTCTATTTTTATAAACTATTATAGTTTAGGGCTAATATAGAAAGAAAATAATATAAAAGCTATTTAAAAGTATTAGAATTCATTAGATTTCTATAAATATAATAGAAATAGAATATTTATAGGCTTTCTAAATAAATTTCTCTAATTCTAATAAATATTTCTTATTTATTAATTTCTTTTTAATTTGCTTTTCTAGAGTTAGAGATCTCTAGAAAGCAAGTACTATCTTATATAACTTCTAGAATACTCTATAAGCTATTATGTTCTTATAAAGAAATATATATTAAAGCTTTATTCTTTTTCTAGGCCAGGTTTTTAATCTTAGTCTATATATTTAATTTAGTAATATTTTAAATAGAAATCGGGAATTTCTTAGTTAGCTATTTCTTAATAATATTAATATTTTCTTTAGTAATAATAGATTACTTATTAATAATTCTATAAATATAAGAAATAAAATCTAATTTATAAATAGGCTTTTCTTTTAAAAGTATTTTAATAGATTCTAGGAAAAGTTCAAAGCTCGGCCGATTATATTTGGCTTTATAGAAGTTATATATTAACCGGATAAGCTATTATAAATAGGTATATTACTTTTATTATACTAACTAGTATTCTCGAAATCGGAAAGTTCTTTTATTATTTTATTATTTTTATTCTTAGATTATATAAATAACTTCTTTAATTCTTTATAAAGAATAAAATAGTTTTATATATACCGGAGATCTAAAGAATACTATATAGTTAGAGGAAGTCTAATTAGTATATTAAATAAATAGAATAGAATAGAATAGTAATTATTATTCTATTTTATTTATTAAAATTTACTTCCTATTTATATTTTATTAATATTCTAATTATAATATTTATAAATATTTATAAATACTTTAAGTAGTCTATATGTAATTCTATATGTAATTCTATATATAATTCTATATATAAAAAGCTAGCTATATTAGGTAAAGCTTCTGCTTGCTCCTATTCTAGTATTATCTTATTACTTAATTAGATAATAGTAAGGCTTAGTAAATAAACCAAAATACAAGATTCCGAGGAGAATAATTAGTTTATTATTATAGAAAATTAGTATATAGCTCGTATTATATAAGTCTTAGCTTAGTTTAACTAGAGCTATTAATAGGCGCCTTAGTTATTTAATAATTATTAAGTAAACCTTAATTTTCTATAGTTATATAAAGTTACTTAATTAGTAATTACTAGTATTTATAAACATTTATAAATATATATTCTATTCTACTCTAAAATCTTTGAGAATTATATTACTTATATTCTATTTAAAATATTTATAAATATTTATAAATACCTTAAATACCTTGAATACTTTTTTAATATACAAAGTCTAATTAATAATTACTAAAGGAAAGATAATAAGGTTTGAAATATAATACTAGTAATTGAAATATTTTAAATTACTTTATTAAAAGAAGTATTAATTCCTAAGCTTTAGAAGAATAGAAAGCTTTATAGTAACTCCGTTTCTGCTTATATTAAAGTTTTTTATAATTTCCGACTATAGAAGGTCTCTAATATTAATAATAGGATAGTGGGATTGTAATAGGCTTTGCTTTACTATAGGCTATAGGTATAACTCGCTTAGTACATCTTTCTCTAAGAAGTATATATACCGAATCCTGAGATCGAGGGTAAATAGAGGGTTCTAGATAGGGAGAATTCGGGTTTTTGGGACCGAAAAAGTATTATATAGGTCTGTGAATATATAGGAGGGATAGAAAAGGCTTCTAGTTAATGCGGATCAATAGGGGCCAATGGGATAGGTACGGATATAAAGTATACGGTCACTACCGGATCGATTTGGGCCTCGAAGATCAGAGAGGCTATTGAGGACGGATTGGAGGGTATGGAGGGCTTGACTGCGAATCCAAGGAGATCTGCGAGGTGATATAATCGTATCCCTGCGTCGCTCGCCAGAAAGTCAAGGATGGAGATTAGAGGGAAGGATGGTGGTTCTATTCAGTGAGGCGAAGCCCGGCTATGTACACCCAGCTTAGTAATCCATGTTGAGGTCCCCTGCTGCAGGCGGAGCGTCGTGAGGCTTTGATTTGCGGACATTCCCTTCTGCAAAAGAATGCGTACCGACCTTTGCCGGGTTCCCGCCGCCACCCTGAGGTGCCACGCCATACGTCCGGCCTCTGGCGGGCACATGAAGGGCAAGGCGTTCAATATTGCGTAGCTGGACCTGTTATAGATGCAGTTGCTGCTGCATGAATACCCAGTCGGTCTGGGGTTGGTGTCCAATGAAGATGAAGATGTGCATGGAAGCAGCAGACTCCCAGCGCCCGGCGGAAGTGGCGGGGTTGGGGGTCAAAATGTCGTCTTATCTACTGTTCCCTAAATCAAGGCCATGACTGCCCTGGATTCTTTTACACTTCACATCAGATTGGCAGCTGACATGCTTTGAGAGCTCGGAAAATTCAACACGTTGTCATTTGCTCAACATGTCTAACACTGGCGACAATTACGGGCAGTACACAGTGGGGTGGATCTGCGCCATCACTACCGAGTATGTAGCGGCGCTCCAGTTCCTTGACAAGCAGCATGGACAGCCGGAATACTTGCCTCCGAACGATGAGAACGATTACACGTTGGGCGAAATTGGGAAACACCATGTCGTCGTCGCCGTCCTACCCGAGGGGTGCTATGGCATAGCTTCGGCGGCAAAGGTTGCAAGAGATATGATGCACAGCTTTCCCAACTTGAGAATCGGTTTGATGGTGGGGATAGGGGGCGGTGTGCCTAATAAGAAACATGATATACGCTTGGGCGACATCGTGGTCAGCACCCCCCGCGATGGGCACGGAGGTGTATTCCAGTACGCCTTTGGCAAGTCTATCCAAGACCAGCAATTCCAGCCCACGGGCTTCTTGAATGAGCCACCAGGTACCTTGCTAGCAGCGGTGGGCGGCCTCAAGGCGCAATACAAGAGCGACGGTCATGGACTGGACGAAGCAATTAAGGCCATACTCGACAAGAAGCCTCGACTCCGAAAGGAGTTTTCACGACCTCATCCAAGCAACGACAGACTGTATAAGCCTACGGTTGCCCACTCCAACGACGAGGCCGGAGCAAGCTGCGCAGACGTCTGTGGCAACGACCCGTCACGTTTACAGGAGCGACGCGAACGTGAAGAGTATGAGGATAATCCGGCCATCTTCTATGGCCTGATTGCTTCTGCCGATCGGGTGATGAAAGACGCCTTGATTCGAGACCGGTTGACGGCCGAGAAAGACGTGCTATGCTTCGAGATGGAGGCGGCAGGCCTTATGAATCACTTCCCCTGCCTGGTGATTCGCGGCATTTGCGACTACGCGGACTCCCACAAGAACAAGGAGTGGCAGGGCTATGCCGCCATGGCGGCGTCGGCATACGCCAGGGACCTTCTCTATCGAATCCCCGCCAACCGATTGCAGAACGAAAGGAGGATGGGCGAAATCCTCTCGGGTTAGTTAATCTGTCCGAACCTATCAATCCTACATTAGTGCTTGTAATTCTTATTATGTGCTAGAGTTGGAGAAGAAAGTCACGGTCATGTCGGATTTCGTCCGCGGACGGGAGCACGATGACATTCTCGACTGGCTCAGCCAGACCGACTACGGCCCCAAGCACGCCGACGTCCTGCGTAGATGGGAATCGGGGACTGGACAATGGTTCCTGAACTCCCCGGAGTTCCTTGAGTGGCAAAAGGGAGACAATAAGACGCTCTTGTGCCATGGCTTTCCTGGAGCTGGGAAGACCACCATCGCGGCCTTGGTCATCGAATGCCTTAGGACAACCTACCCGAAACCCCCAACAGAGAACGGCAAACAGAAAGACGAGAAAATCGGCGTTGCGTTTATGTATTGTGATTCGCAAATGGATAACCAGCCTCCGCAGGCCGTCCTGGCGACTCTGGTCAAACAGCTGGTCCAGCAGCTGGCTTCGATCCCCGAGATCGTAAAACGATTCTATGAGGACAACAAAAGCAGAGCTTCATCTTCTCTCAGTACCAGCTCTTTCTTTGTAATACTGCAATCGGTGATTTCATCTTTCGCTCGGGTCTTCGTCGTCATTGATGCTCTCGACGAGTGCCAAAGTCGGAGCGAAATCCTTGACAGTATGGCGCGTGTTCAATCCGAGGTTGGAGTATATCTCTTTGCGACAACAAGGCCCGAGAAGAACATTCATGATGAAATGAAGGACCTCTTTCGGATTCACACGTTATTTGAGATTAGCGCCAGTGACCACGACGTGGAGAGATACATTGATAATCATCTGTCAAGCCTTCCGCTGTTACGCAATAAGAACCAGGATCTGTCAAGCGAAGCCACGACCAATATCATCGGGAAAATCAAGAGCAAAATCATCCAAGCCGCAAATGGAGTGTAAGTTTCTCCCTCCTCCTCGCGCGTCGACTTGTGACGTAGATTTACGATTCCCGTGCAGGTTTCTACTCGCCCGATTTCATCTAGAGGAACTTTCTGACATGTATACACCAAACGAAGTCGTCACCGCTCTGGAGGAATTGCCGATCGGAAAGAATGCGCTGTCCGAAACGTATGGTAAAACCATCAACAGGATCAGAAGGCAAAAGGGGCCGCGTTTGGTCCACCTCGCGGAAAGAGTGCTCTCGCTGCTCACCATGGCCAAGAGGCTGCTAACCATGCGAGAACTACGTGATGCCCTTGCCGTGAAAATTGGTGCACCCATGCTGGACCCAGGCGATGTTATTACCGATGACGTTATGGAGCTTATTGTTTCGGCTTGCGCGGGGCTCGTCACAGTCAATACCGCCGTGGGCGTCGTACAGTTGCTTCACGATACGACAAGGGAATATCTCAAAACCCATATGTTCTGCATTACGCCTCCGCAAGAACCTGGACATCCGGAGGATCCGACGGCCTTCAATCAAGACAAGAACCGCAGTGCTGTTGATCGGGTCCATAGGGGTATGGCGCTCATTTGTGTCACGTACCTCTCCTTTGACGTCTTCCAGAGCGGGCCCTGCAAAAAGGACGAGTTCCAACAGCGGCTGATGTCGAATCCACTCTATGACTACGCCGCATGTAACTGGGGCTTTCATGCTCACGCCCTGGAGGCTTCCCGCAGCGAGGAAACTCTTGGCTTTCTCGAAAGTCAAGCCAAGGTGGAGGCCTCGAGCCAAGCGTTACTTGCCGGTGAAAGTGGAAACTTCCCGAGCCAAGTGACAGGACTGCACCTAGCTGCCTACTTCGGATTGCGCGAAGCTCTGAACTGCTTGCTCCGTCGCCAGCACGAAGTAGACCCGAGGGACGGCAAGAGTCGAACGCCGCTTTCCTATGCTGCAGAGCTTGGTCATGAGAACGTGGTCGAACGACTGCTCGAGACGGGCAAAGTCAACCCAGACTTGGAAGACAACTCCGGGTACACCCCAATGTCATACGCTTCCATGGCAGGTTTCACCGGGGTGGTCAGGCGGCTCTTTGGCACACGAAAAGTCAATGCCGACTCGAAAAACCAGGTCGGACGCACGCCGCTCTCTCTAGCTGCCGAGAATGGACACGTGGAGGTAGCTAAGTATCTACTCGGCACAAGGACAGTTGATGTAGACAGCAAGTGTGGCGGTTTCTTCTCCGGCCGGACACCCTTGTCGTTTGCCGCGGCGAGTGGGTATGAAGCCATCGTCAAGCTTCTCCTCGAGACCGGCAAGGTCAACGCCGACACGGCGTCTAATGGCTTGTTTGACGCTGGCCAGTCTCCGCTATCATTAGCCGCCGAGAATGGTCACATGTCTGTCGTTGAATTGCTACTGAAGACGGGCAGGGTTGACGTGAACTCGACGTCAGCATTTGGATCTGTGGTGGCCCGCCCCGGCCGCACAGCATTGTCATTTGCCGCAGAGACAGGTCACAACAATGTTGTCAATCTCCTACTCGATACATATGGAGTCGATACCGATGGGCAGGATCATTATGGGCGGACTCCTCTATCGTATGCCACCGAGAACGGGCATGAAACAATTGCAAAGCTCCTGCTAGAGAAGGGCAAAGCAGCCGCGGACTCGAAATCCAGAACTGGCGTAACGCCTCTCTCTTTTGCTGCCATGCGCGGCCATACAAAAATAGTCAAGATACTACTCGATACGGGAGTAGTTGATGTGAACGCAGTCGAAGAACAACAACATTACACGCCCTTGTCACTGGCGGCCGAGAATGGTTATACAGCTGTCGTCGAGATGCTCTTCAACACCGCCAGCGTGGAGGTCAACTCGAAATGCATCTCGCGGACCACGTATGGGGTGGCCGGGCCAGACGAGGTCCGAACGCCCGCGTGGCACGACCGGACACCACTATCGCTAGCCTCTAACAACGGCAAGCTTGAAGTTGTCAAGCTTCTTCTAGGTAGCAGCAAGGCCGATATCGATCACAGAGACTCCCGAGGTCAGACTCCGCTCTCACTAGCCGCTGAGAACGGCCATGCCACCGTCGTCGAGCTACTACTGGATACCTGTCGCACGGATGTCAATTCCAGGAGCAACCCAGGCCGTGGTCCACCCCCGTGGGCTGGTGAAGAGGGCCCACAGAATCTGTGGGTTCCCACGAGCATAATGGAGACTGGTTTGTCTGGTTTGCTCGACGACAGGTGTGGTCGGACACCACTCTCGTTGGCCGCCGGAAGCGGTCACGGAGCTGTTGTCGAGCGATTGATTCTAACAAAAGCCGTTGAAGTTGACTCAAAAGACACAGACTATGGTCGAACTCCGCTGTCGTGGGCTGCCTCGACCGGATGCGTTCATGTGGTTGAGATGTTACTCGGGACCACCGGTGTCGATGCGGACTCGAAAGATTTCTTCGGCCGGACTCCGCTCTCGTGGGCTGCCGGGGATGGGCACGAGTCGGTCGTCAAGTCAATGCTCCACAAGGGGAAAGCAGAGTCCGACTCGGTGGACTATTTCGGCCGGAGCCCGTTGCTTTGGGCAGCAGAAAGTGGTCACGACAAGGTTGTCAGGCTGCTGCTCACGGATAGAAGAGTGCTGCGAAACCGAAGGGCCAATTATGACGGCCGATCGCCTCTGTCTTGGGCTTCCGGGAACGGCCACGAAGCTGCTGTCCGTGCCCTCCTCGATGATTCCGACGTCGATGTCGACTGCAAGGACTTCGACAATCGAACACCACTATCATTCGCCACCGAGAACGGCCATGAAGCTGTTGTCAGGCTGCTCTTGGCCACTGGTAAAGTCGATTTACTAGTAGAGGATGACAAGTTCTCCTAGACGCCACTCCAATAGGCAAGCGAGAATGGCCACGGCAGGGCCAATCTCGGCTGAACCTCGGGTCAAACCAAAGGATTTATCACATGAGCCAGTGGCCAAGATCACGTGATTGGGGGCCTTGCTCTAGCCACATTCAAATCAGCCACATAAGGCCTGTGTGAGAGTCGTTTCGCACTAACCAAAATCGTCACTCGCTTTGACCCAAGGTATTAGTTTGCATAGCAATTTGGTAAAGATCTGGATACTATAATAGCTACAAGGCTCGTAACGATTTCTAGTATAGTAGCAAGGTTCTAAAACTCGGATATGACTTTTTATAAGCATTAGGCATAATAAGAGCTTAATAGTAGAAGTATATTAAAGGAATTCTCTTTTGCTATAAGTAAAGACGTTCTGCAGATTAGGTATAAGGGCAATAACCCCAAGGTAATTTTCGAATAAGAGGGGCCTAGAATACTAAAGAGTAACTAGAGAATACGACTTATATAATAGTTTGGGAGACATTAATAAATATGGAGTTTTTAATATATTTAAAGTTAAAGTACCTATTATTTTTTTCGGTATAAAGGGTTTTCTGCTATATAGGAATAAATATTAAGAATTATTATATTATTTATTTTATAATTTTATATTATTTTAATTTTTTAAGAAATTTTCCTTTACTTTAAAGTATTAGATAATTAATACCAAATTCCAATTTATATAAATCGAGATATTAAATATAATAAAGTCCGAAATCGGCTTTAGTTTTAAATCTTATAACGGCGGGATTAATGTAATAGTCAAAGGCTCAAAATTCAAAGAATCTTATATATTAGAAAATACTAAGCTATGGAATAAAGTAGGGAGAATGCCTCGACCTTTAGTATTATTCTATCTAAGTAATTCCGGCTTAGCTTCGTTTTATACCTGTTTCTAATATCCTGTCCTTAGTAGATTATACCCTTATACCAGCCGTTATATTACCCCTTCTCTAAAGAGAAATCTAAATACCCTTATTTAGGGAATTATTCAGCCGTAGTATAGAAAAGAAAAAAGAGGAAATAATAGCCATTAATCCTATTTCGTCTAATTCCTATAGCTTACTTATAATCGAAGTATAGTCTTGACTTTACTAGAATAACCCAGTTTCTAGTATATTCCGGCCAGTCCTTAGTATCTATTACTTATATTATACCTATACTCATATTAATAATATGGTCTGGGAGTACTATATAGGCTATAGCTAATATTAGAACTATTATTATTGGGCGGTCTTTAAATAGGAGTAGCAGATCAAGTCTATCTATTAATACAGGTTTTAATATAGTAGCTTGCTTGCCTTTCTTCTTAATTAAAGTAGTAATATTTGGCTTAATTATACTGTTTCTAAGCTATTTAATTAACTTCTGGGCCTTTTCGAGCTTAATATATATATTCTCAAGTTATTTTTCTATAATAGAGACTTATATATTAAGGGTAGCTACTTGAGCTACTTTATTATTAAATTCTCGGGCCTTGAACTATATGATTTTAGTCTTATAAGAGCTTCTAAGAGGTTTTCTGACTTCCTAAATAGTATTATATATTAATTTATTAATATTTATAGAGTATTACTTCTTTAATTTGGCCTTTAGGATTATTTACTAGCTCTTGGTTTTAGACTAGTATTTTATATAATAACTATTACTTAGTACTATATGTTTTCTGGTTATAATAAGTATCTTAATACTAGTTTAGCTACCTTTATTATAGTTAGAGTCTCTTTTATTACTAGAAATCTTTTTATTCTTAGTTTTTTTATTATTGGAATTCTTGCTATTATCTAATATCTTATACTTTTAGATAAGCTAGTCTTATTCTTTTTAATCTTTTTAGTATTTGACTCTATAAGATTAATAAGGAAGTTCTTATTAGTATTATTTATTTCGCTTATTAGATTATTAGACTTATTATTACTAGTAACTAAAACCTCTATTTTATTATTCTTAGAATATTCTATTAAAATATTCTCTATAGTAATTTCAGGTATATTTTTAAGAGTAGTACGGGCTATATTCTATATATTAACCTGTTTTTAGATAAGAGAATTACTATTTTCGTCTATAAAAGTAGTTTGGCTAGTAATTATATTAATAATAGTAATAGCTATTAAACTTGAGATATTACTATTATTACTCAAGTTATTTAGGATCTAGCAAGTAGCCTTATTTAGTCTGGCTATAAATAATATATTACCGGGATTTTTTATTTATTTTATCTTTATTAATAGTTCTATTAAGATAATAGTAATAGTATGAATAGTTAAGGTTATAAAGATTAAAATAGTTAGAAAGATTTCTCTTAATTTTTAATAATATTTTAAACTAATATAGGCGAGTATTTATTTTTGGCTTAGCTTTAAGAATTTACTTTTTTTATAATTTACCTAGATAATAAAGTATAATCTAGTATAATAAAGTAAGATATTTTGCCTAGATTTCTAGAAAAGAAAGTAAGTACTAATATAGTAAAATAAAGGAAATATACTAGGGTTTAAATAAAACCCGGGAAATATCTAGGTTTTTCTATTTTTTTTCTAGTTATAGAAACCTTATTATTAAGATTTATTATTATCTGGGTAGTCTTTATTAAACTTATTCTCTTTAATATACTAAATCTATTTATTTAGCTAGATAGGAGGTCCTGTTTTACTAGAGTTCTACTTATAGAATTTATATAGTTTAAGTATTAAGTTTTTAAAGTTTAATATAAGGTACTATTTATTATCTATATCCTATTTCTTCTATTTAATCTTATAGTAAAGCTTACTATAAAGTACCTTAAAAAAGAGAATCTTTTTAACTTCTTATTTAAGTTTACTATTAACTTTAGTAGAACTAGGCTCTTTATTAGTCTAGCCAGGTAATAAGTTAGTAAGATCTTTATAAAGTCTATTTATATAGAAAATTAGCCAAATCCTATATAATAGAAAAAGATCTAATTAATATAAATAGCCGACTATTTTATTAATCTTAAATAATCTAATAAGGAAATAGTCTAATTTATTAGATAAATAGTTTATTTTCTATATCTTTTTAATTATATAGACTATATTTCCTGAACTAAAATCTAGTTCTTACTATTTCTTATTAGCTTACTTAACTTAATACTTCTGAGCTATTATTATATATTCTCGGGTATAATTAATAGTAGTATTAATTCTTTTAGTCTATTATTATACTTCTTTCTAATTGAGTTTCTTTCTCGGTATTTTGAACTTTATTATTAGTAATATCTAGTTAAAGTTTAGCCTGGATTTATATTTATAATTAACTATTAAGGGAAATAGGCCGGTTAATTTATATAGGCAGGCAGTATCTATAGTATTAAGTACTAGAAGTAAATCTGCCTAATTATTCTAGAAGTAATTAATAAAAAAGTAAAGTTAGGTATTAATAATCTAGTTAATAATTTCTATTTATTTATTAGTTTGGGTATATTCCGTAATTAAGAGCTTTAGCTTAGTTCTAGTTAATCTTAATAGTTTATTTATAAAGTCTGAAATGAATTAGAGTTCTTAGTTACTTGTAATAGTAAGGAGAAATTCTCGGAATTACTAGATATAGTAGTAGAATAGGCCAGTAATAATTCTAGCTATAGTATTCTTTGTTATTAGTAAGCTTATATATTATTTGAATAATTAATTAATTATAATAAATATATTATTATATTTCTTACTTATAGAGCCAGAAATATAGAAGTCTATAAATAAATTATCTCATATTCTTAGGGAAATCAATAATAGATATAATAGGCCTAGTATTTTATTTCTTGGCTTATAAGACCTTTAATATTTATAGTAGTTTACTATAAAACAATTAATATCTATAGAGAGAATAAGTTACTAGTAAAGTCTCTAAACTAGGATTTTTGTCTTATTTTAATCGGGATATATAATAGTTATTATATTATAGATATATTATATAAGTCTAGTTTATAGATTATTATATCCGTCTAGTATAATAAGTCTTTTATTATAAAATATATAGTTATTTAATATTTTTTACAGATCCGTATTCTCCCGGGCTTTCTTATATTTATTTTCTAGGACTAGGTCTATCTAATTAGCTTATAAAACTTTAACTATAATAAATAGCTTATTTATTTCTTTTATTTTAGTAGAAATATAAGCCATATCTATTATTTTAGTAAAAGCAAGAATTAGGTTTAATAAAATAACTTATCTAGTTCTTTTGGCTTCTTTAGCCTGCTTCTGAATTAGTATAAGCTTGTTTTTTCGGGATAAGATATTAGTAATAGTATTATCTTTATCTAGCTAATAGGTAATCTAGTAATAGAATTATAATAGGAAACCTATTTATTAGATTTATTATTTATTTAAGAGCCTCTTAGTATTAAAATACTCGAGAGCTTTATAGTTAGTAATAATTAGAAAATTAGGCAAGCTAATTAGTTCTACTTACTATTTCCGGAGTCCTTAGATAATAGCAAGAATTTCTTTATTATAAACTTTATAATAGCTTTTAGTTCCTTAAAGAGCTTTGGAATAGAATAAGACTGGGTGCTATTATTCGTTCTCTGGGCTTTTTTGAGAGAGTATAATTATAGTAGCTAGATCCGAATAGTCGGTTTCCAGACAGGTTTCCCTATTATATTTAAAATAAAGAAATATAAGAATAAAGAGAAGCAGATCTTTAAGCTAATTAAAGGTATCTAGCTAGATTTTGTCGAATATAAACTTTAGTAAAGTATTCTTTTTAGTTAGATAGTTTAGAAAGCAAGAGATATATCTATAGGCTTAGATAAACCTATAATAGAAATTATAGAAGCCCAAAAATAATTATATCTTTCTTTTTATTATAGGTCGGTACTAGTTTCAGATAATAGAGGTTTTAATAGGATCTACTTATATATCTTAATCCGAGATAATAAATCCTAAGAATATTATTTTAGAGATTTTAAATTTATATTTATAAATATTAACTTATAATCTGGTATTCTAGAGCTTTTATAAGACT